ATTGTCCCTGCTTTTCCTCAGGAATATCCCAAATTCAGACACAGCACAGGTCACCAACTGCTGCAGCAGGGCACTGTCCATGCTCTGCCTCAGGAATATCCCAAATTTAGACATGAGAAAGGGTTACAAACTCCAGGTGAGCATTCCCAGGGCTCTGAGCCCTCCCTGGATCCTTCCCTTCTCCAGGGAACATTCCCAGGGCTCTGAGCCCTCCCTGGATCCTTCCCTTCTCCAGGAGAACATTCCCAGGGCTCTGAGCTCTCCCTGGATCCTTCCCTTCTCCAGGGAACATTCCCAGGGCTCTGAGGATTCCCCGGATCCTTCCCTTCTCCAGGGGAACATTCCCAGGGCTCTGAGGATTCCCCGGATCCTTCCCTTCTCCAGGGAACATTCCCAGGGCTCTGAGGATTCCCTGGATCCTTCCCTTCTCCAGGTGAACGTTCCCAGGGCTCCCAGCCCTTGGAGCCTCTCTGGAATTGCTCCACATCCACCCCAAGTCTCCTTGAGAGGGAGAAGATGAGCAAGAGAAAGCCAGGGGTGCCCATTGGGGCTGGAAAAGCTCTCCCAGATCAACGAGTCCCAGCCCAGAATTCCCAAAGCTGCAGCCAGAGGAGTGCTGGGATGCAGGGAATGCCTGCATGTGCTGCATCCTTTCCCTCTGGAAATGTTTCACTTAAAAACTTTCAAAAGCTGCAATTATCAGATGTGCAGGTCACACATTTTAGCAAGCAGCTTCCACATTCCACTGGACATGTCTTGGGAGAATTAAAAAAAAAAATACTGTGGACATGGGGAAGAGAAAAAATAAAAACAAAATGGACCAGAATGGGGAAAAAAATAGGCTCAAAGAGAGAAATTCCAGGGAAAACAAAAGGATTCTGCTGCCTCCTCCCAACAATCCCACTGTGCCAAAAATCAGCACCAGAGCAGAGGAGCTGCCAGGGCTGGTTCAGCCCCAGTGCTCACCTTCTGCTGAAATGGGGAAACTTCCCTCCTCTGGAGCTCCTTTGTTCCCCTGCTCTGCAGTGGGCACAGGAGGCAGGAAAAAAACTAGGAAAAGTGAGATATCCATGTCAGGGAGTCAGGCTCTCAGGCAGGAAATAGGAAATAAAATCAGTAGGAAAACTGAAATATCCTCCTCAGGGGGTCAGGCTTCCAAGCAGGAAATAGGAAATAAAATAAGCAGGAAAAGTGAAATATCCACTTCAGGGAGTCAGGCTCCCAAGCAGGAAATAGGAAATAAAATAAGCAGGAAAAGTGAAATATCCACCTCAGGAAATCAGGCTCCCAGGCTGACTGAGCAGGGACAAAACGACCCCGAGGGGAATGAAAAAATCCAGATATGGAGACACAAAAGGTGGGGCTGGAGCAGCAGAATTAGGGATGAGAAGGAAATTGGAGGGATGAGAGGGAAATTGGAGGGATGAGAGGGAAATTGAGGAGAACACCTGTGGAATAGCAAGGGGAGGATGGGGAGGAGATAAAACCCAGGTGTGGAAGGATGAAACCCACACCAAGATCAGGAGAAGGAGAAGGAATGAGCAGCCAAAGGAATGCTGGAAGCCCATCCCAGGATTATCAAACCATCCTCATCATCAAAATGGGGATACTGTGAGCAACTTCCCACTCTGTGCTCCAGAGGGGAGAGGAGATGAAAGATTTTCCCCCTGAACCAGGTGAAAAGCTCAAAAAAACCTCAAAAACTCAAAGTGCACAAGGAACTGCCAGTACATAATGAGCAGATTTGAGGAAACAGCATCAGAGAGGGATGCTCATCACCCTGGGCAGGCCACACAAATTAGGAGGAGAGCAGAGCTGTGAATTACAATGAACAGAGACTAAATAGCTGCCTGTGTTGGATTAAAGGATTTAAATTGTCAGCTTGATGTATAATGAATGTGAAAAGCCAGCACTTAATTAAATGGCACACGATAGAATAACTTTGTTATGCTTTAAACTGCTTAAGTTATCAAAGTATTCCTTATATTTGGCAATTGTTTTGCAGTGTCTCCTTCCCTGGTGAGATCCACTGAGACATTGGTCATTACCCTCTCTGTTCAGCTGTGGGGAAAGGTGGATTTTTTTGAACTTTTACATGTTCTGTTGGTCTGCAATTTGAGTTTTCAATGATGGCCAGTGAATTTTTAGCAGCTGAAGGTTGCAGAACCCCAAGGATGAGCTACCAGGGGCTTTAAGGATCTGTCAACACCTCAAGACCAAACCCAGGAGATCCGAGGGCTCTTCTGACAGCACAGGCTCAGCACCCCAAAAATGACCCCAATTAACCCTTCCCTGGGGCTGCTCGGGTGTGGAAGGGCTGAGAGACCTTGTGCCAAGGGAAAAACTTCATCCTCCTCACCAGCCTTGAGCAGAACACAGAAATTCTGTTCTGCCTCTGCATTTTGGTGGCAGGAACCAACTCAACCCTCCAAGCCCTCAAGGGAAAAAAAAACACGGAGCAAGCAAAGAGAGAAGGGGTTGGAAAACCAACCCTGTGGACAGAAAATGACAGGCAGGATGGAAATCACACACTCAGAGACAAAGGATCCCCAGCAGGGCTCCTGAGCCACCTCCTGAAGGCACCACAGAGAGCAGAAGGGCTTCAGGGGCTGATTAAAGGAAGGATTTAATAAATCAAGGTGATGAGAAGCACTGCTCCATCCTGATGGGCAGAAATGCTGCCACGAAGGGATGTGACCAAACAGATTTCCAGCAATTTCTTTTGTTTCTTTATTCCACTCAACTGACCCCATCCTTTCACAGGGATTTGTGTAACAGAATCCTGGAATGGTTTGGGTTGGGAGGGACCTTAAATCCCACCCAGTGTCCCATGGCAGGGACACCTCCCACTGCCCCAGGCTGCTCCAAACCCATCCAACCTGGCCTTGGGCACTGCCAGGGATCCAGAGGCAGGCACAACTTCTCTGGGAATTCCATCCCAGTCCTTCCTCACCCTCACAGGGAAAAATTCCTTCCCAAAATCCATCTAAAACTCCACTTTTCCACTCTGCAGCCATTCCCTGTGCGCTGTCCCCTCCATCCCTTGCCCCAAGTCCCTCTCTAGGTCTCCTTGGAGCCTTCTCCTCTCCAGGCTGGACCATCCCAGCTCCCACTTTTCCCACCCCTCTCAGATCCCACGAAGCTCCAGAGGTTGTGTTGATCATTCCCAAGGAAGTTTTCCTTCATCCCAGAGCCCCTGAGCATGGGGGATGCTCTGGAGGAGCAGCAGAGAGGAAGGACCCTCCTCTCACAGGGATCCTGGAGCTGCCCCAGCCTCTCAATGAACACCCAAATCCAGATTTTTCACCCCACAGCCAGAAGCAGAGAGATAAAAAGCAATAAATTACTCACAGCCACCGCTATCCTTCCGAGAACGTGTTCTGGAATTTTCCTGTAAACATCCAGAGACCCCCCTGCAGGGACAAACAGCACGTGCTCAGCTGGTGCCACATCAAACACTGCCCCAGATTTGAAGCCCCAAGGGTTTTTTAGGCCTTGGTTATTAATAAAAACACCATCAGTGATAGAGCAATACCCGTGGCAGAAATAACTGACCTTAAAAACCTCCCAAGCTCTGCATAAAAACACAGAACAGCACTCAGAGCTTCTTACCACATCCCTGCTTTGTGCTTGTGGCATTGATACTCAGGAAACGCTGCGGGGACAAAATGTTAGCAAACCCTCCAGTCATAAATATCGACGTTAAAGAACTCCAAAACGTGGGGGGAAATGTCTTGGGGATAACAAAATCATCCCAAAAAGCTGCACCAGGGCATTATCCCTGCTATGAATATCCCAAATTCAGCCCCCAGAAAGGGTCACAAACTGATGCACCAGGGCATTGTTCCTGCTCTTCCTCAGGAATATCCCAAATTCAGCCCCCAGAAATGGTCACAAATTGCTGCAGCAGGGCACTGTCCCTGATTTTCCTCAGGAATATCCCAAATTCAGCCACCAGAAAGGGTCACAAACTGCTCCTCCAGGGCATTGTTCCTGCTCTTCCTCAGGAATATCCCAAATTCAGACATCAGAAAAGGGTCCCAAACTGCTCCTCCAGGGCACTATCCCTGCTTTTCCTCAGGAATATCCCAAATTCAGACATCAGAAAAGGGTCCCAAACTGCTCCTCCAGGGCACTCTCCCTGCTTTTCCTCAGGAATATCCCAAATTCCCCAGCAAATCTCCTCTGCCACGCCAGGCTGTGGGCTCAGGGATGCTTTTGGGGCGAGGATTCTCGTGGGGAGGAACCAGAGGGATCCAAAAGGAACTCGGCAGCGAGCTGGGAAACAGCTGGGCTGGAAAATCACTCCTTGCCTGGTAATTAAGAGCCCATTTCCACTGCAAACAGCCAGGACATTGGGTTAATAGATTTCTTGAAAGGAAAAGCTGTTTTGGCTATCAAAACACTACAAGTGAGGAACAGCTGTTTTGTCAGTGAGGACAGATTGCACGGGAGGCTCAAATATCAAACCACAAATTAAGGCTGCCTTTATTCCTCTTCTATTTACATTTTCCATAAAAGTAAGTGAAGTTCCACGCAGGGAAAATGCAGAATATCTCCCAAGCCCAATTCCAGCCTGCTCTGGTTTCTTAACTACCTGCAGTATTATTGATACTCCACATTTCTGAGTCTTACTGTTGCATTTCATTCTGCCAAATAAAAAAAAAAAATTCCTTTCTCATTTAATTACTTAGCAATCAAAAGCAAACTGGATCCACTACTCACCATCCATGAACTCTGTGCACAATGAAATCCTGTTTTCTACAAAAAAAGCACCATAAAATCCTATGATATACGAGGAGTCACACTGGGAAAAGAGAGGAGACAAGCACGAGGCTGTTTTAAAAGCTGCTGTAAGAAGTCTGAGGTAAAAATAATGTTATTTTTACCTCAGTCGGTATTTATTTTATAATTACAATGTTATCCAATGTTAAAATCCACGCACCTTGTAAAGAATTTCTAACTCTGACATGATCTGCTTCTGGAGCTCCAGTGTTATATCCAAGGGTATGACCTGAAACACAGAAATGCACAGAGCTCATGTGAAAGGGAAGCGAATAATTCAAAATAAAACCCCCAAATGTAGAGAGATCCATGGAATAATGATCATTGTGGGGTAACAAGGAGAGGAATGGGCAGAAAGAATATTTTAACAAGAAGGAAATTTTCTCGCCAGCACCAAAGCACCAGGGACTGCAGCCAAAGTGGGCTGCACTTCCTGGAATTGGGAATTCCCAGGATTTTTCAGGGCACTGAAAATCCCAACTGAACACTGAATTTCTTGCCACAGTTCTTTGAAAACTCAAAAACTCAATTATGAAGCTCTGCTTTAGAAAGCAAACTGGACTCAGTGCTTGGAGCCAGGCTCAGCCTGCCCCCAGCCAAGACTTATTTAATACTTTATTTAGTATTTTATTTAATACTTTATTTAATGCTTTATTTAATACTTTATTTAATGCTTTATTTAATGCTTTATTTAATGCTTTGTTTAATACTTTATTTAATACTTTGGTTAATACTTTAATACTTTGTTTAATGCTTTATTTAATGCTTTATTTAATACTATGTTTAATACTTTAATACTTTGTTTAATGCTTTATTTAATACTTTATTTAATGCTTTATTAAATACTTTGTTTAATACTTTAAATATCCAAAAATCTCCTTGACATCCCAAAGCCAGGCCCAGAGTGAGGAAATGTGGGGCTCATTTGCATGAACCCTAATTACAAACATTCCACTAATGAGGATAACCTGGGAAAACAGAGTTTTTGCATTTCTTGGTCAGGACACCAAGGGAAGGAATTACAAGATTATTTCCCCCTCCCACAAAATTAATTAGGGGTGAATCACCTCCTCTGCAGAATTATTTTACATTTTTCTTCCAGCTGGAAATGTGTGGCTTGTGTGACCCCACCTGATGTCAAGGCTGGCAGAAATTTCTTTATTTACAGCACAAAAAGAGGGGAAAAAAAAAAATTTATATCTCACCTTTACCTGCATTTATCGTCACCTTTTTTTATATGAAATTTCCAAGCCTGTTTTGTAGGGGTAAAAAAACTTCCAGGGGATTCATGAGGTGACATTTTCCAGCATGGGTTGGAATTTTGTTAAAGCAAAAAAAAACCCCAAAAAACCACCAAAAAAACCCCAAAAAACCCAAACCAACAAATAAAAAAACCCCAAAAAAATTCCCCAAAATCTAAAATATCTCCTCAGAGTCATTATTTCTGCTGAGGATGAAGCTGGGAATGAAGGTTGGGATGCAAATTCCTGGAATTCTGGAATGGTTTGGGTGGGAAAAGCTCTTAAAGGGATTTCACTCCTCCTCCCCCATCCCTGTCCAGCCTGGCCTTGGACACTGCAGAGATGAATAATAATAAAAAAATAAAAATAAAATAAAAATAAAATAAAAATAAATTAAATATAAATTAAAATTATATTATTATTATTATTATTAATAATAATAGTAATAATAATAGTAGTAATAATAATAATAATAATAATAATAAATAATGATGGAAGGAAAGCAAGGGCAGGAAAACAAAAAGGGAAAAATAAAATATCTGGAATTTCTTACCTTCACTGCCAGGATTTTTCCACTACGGACATGGTAAGCCCTGGGTGAGGAAAAAAATTCAATAATTTGAGATTATATAAAATTCCCCCTGTGAGGATGTGTGATACAAATACTCATTTCACAGAAAAATGACTTTTACCTCATGGATTTTATGCCAATTCAATTTTACCCAGGATTTCTAAAGGAAAACAAGGGATCAAAAATAAAATAAAAACTATTTTGTCAGGGTTTGTATCTTTATTTTTGATATAAGAAACACACACTGAAGGCTTTGATGCAGCATAAAAATAAACTATAAATGGGAATTGAACAGAATCTTTTAGGTTGACTCTCCAAAATTGAGTCCAACCTTGAATTTATCCATTTTCCCATCTTCTTTCAATGGAATTAATAAAGAATTATTAATTATGCAGAATTTTCATGGAAAATCAGGATTATTTCAATCCCATGGCTATTTCCAGAGACAAGCAGCTTCACCAGATAAATGGAATTAAAACAGATTATGGCCAATTCTTCCTCAGAACTGAAGGAGCCACAGAAAACCTTGGCAAAATTCGATTTCTGCATTTATTTGATGATCAGAGGGTGCATATAAATAAAGAATTATTGCTGATGCTCACGTGTACCCAAAATAATTTTCAAAAGGGTGTTTCAACAGCAATTTGGCTGAATTTCTGAGGAGAAACACCCAGAATTGGCCATTTCACAGTGACTTGAATATTTCTAACCAGGAAAACATGAGAAAATGAAGTTAAAAACCCCTCAAAATCCAATGTAATTTTGCATAAAAACAAAACCATTAAAGGTTTTCCTCTTCACTGGTTTTACTGCCTCACTCTGATTTATGGCAGCATTGGCAGAGACGTGGCACTAACTTTAAAGAATTCCAATATTTTACCTCTCTGTACCTCCAGCAATTATTCCTGAAGAAGAAAAGCTTTAATAGTTGTTTTTTTTTGTGTGTAAAATCACCCTCGGACAGGGCGAAAAATGTCATTTAATCTTATTTATAACCCTGAGTGCCCCCCCTAATTTCTGGTAATGGCTTGGAAATTCCTAAAAACTTCGCCTTAACTTAAGAACTCTGGGATGAACGTTTATGCAATGGAGTGGCATCAACTTTTATGTGGAAAAAAAAAAACAGTTTAGGAAAGCAGAGGGGAAAAAATCAGTGTAAAAAATGAGATTATCCATGGGAACTTTGATAGAGCTGAATCCATGAATTCAGCTCCAGAATCAGCTGAATTCCACAAATCCACGAGCTCTGGGACTGAACCAACAGTGGGAAAACATCCTGGATTTAAGATGATTTCCCAGAATTTAGGGGAGAAAAAAAAGAATTTAGTAAAGAAGAGGGGGGAAAAAAATCAGTGTAGAAAATGAGATTATCCATGGAAACTTCAATAGAACAGGAGCTGAATCCATGAATTCACAAATCCACAAGCTCTGGGGATGAACCAACATTGGGAAATCGTCCTGGATTTAAGATGATTTCCCACATTTTAGGAGAGAAAACAAAATTAGCTTAGTAAGGCACAGGGGGGAAATAATCAGTGTAAAAAATGAGATTATCCATGGGAACTTTGACAGAATCCATGAATCCAACAGTGGGAAAATATCCTGGATTTAGGATGAGCAGGATAAGGGCTGGAGAGGTTGGAAGGGATGCTCCACGTCTGCTGGGTTCATTGGGACCACTCTGGTCATGAGCTGCTCAGGAAAGCTGATCCTTTTTCCTCCTAATTTCTGGTAATGGCTTGGAAATTCTTAAAAAAATCACCTTAATTTAGTAACTCCTGGATGAATACTTATGCAACTGATTGGCACCAGATTTGGGGAGAAAAAACAAGAGTTTAACATGACAGAGGGGGGGAAATCAGTGTAGAAAATAAAATCATCCCTGGGAAATTTGATAGAGCTGAATCCATGAATCCACGAGCTCTGGGGATGAACCAACAGTGGGAAAACATCCTGGATTTAAGATGATTTCCCACATGTTAGGGGAGAAAAAAAGAGTTTAGTAAGGCAGAGGGGGAAAATCAGTGTAGAAAATGATATTATCCATGGGAACTTTGACAGAACAGGAGCTGAATCCATGAATCCAACAGTGGGAAAATATCCTGGATTTAGGATGAGCAGGAATAAGGGCTGGAGAGGTTGGGAGGGATGCTCCACGTCTGCTGGGTTCATTGGGACCACTCTGGACACGAGCTGCTCAGGAAAGCTGATCCTTTTTCCATGGGAGAGCTCTCCCATTTCAGAGCAAATGGAAGGGCAGAGCTGATGATTTAATTATGATGCACGCTAATTCATCCGTGGAAGGCTGGGCTCAGGTTCCAGCACGGGGCAGGGACCTGGTTTGGTTTTCAGGGCACTGCCAGCACCAATTGAACATTTAATTATGGCTGGGAGCTGGATGACAAAGAGCCTGGGCTGGGGGATGCCAGCGGGGCAGGAATTTGTTTACTCCAGGCTGATCCAGCATCTCAGTTGTCCTGCCCTTCCCCTGCACAATAACTGTAAAGTGATTAATGGAGCTCTAAGGGAGCTTTGGTTACACCAAAAGACAACCCTATACCTCTGTGGTGTTTTAATTAACAGCCAACGCTTCCAATTAGGCTGGGGCTGCTGCAGTAATTACCCCTTCCGAGGAAAAAGGGATTTTCTGGGATGTTCTGTGGGACTGGAAGGTGGAATTGGTAGTTTTGGTTG